CACGTATCTTTCCAATTGATCGCATGAATAATTTATATAATATTTTTAATTTTAGGAGATCTATTATTGTTCATTTACCTAAATTTAAGAATATTTTATTTAAAATTCAAATAGTTTTTTAAATTTTTTCTTTTTCAAAAATTTTTCTAAACAAATATTTGTTATATTTACAAATTGACTCAACACTTCAACAATAAGGAAATATTATTATCTTATAATTGAAAAAATTTTAAAACGATAAGACTAAATTTATTTTCATGATCCACAAAATTGAGATATGATACAAGAATTCTCCCATAATATCACCTATTTGGAAAAAAAAATAAAGAAAATTAGTAAATTAATGTTTTATATTTTTAGTTATTTAGAAAAATATTGTACTCGTAATAAACAAAAAAAATAAAGAGAAAGGGATTAAAAGGATAAAAATAATTTGATTTGTGTGTTAATTTTAGAGAAGGATAAAAATACAATTAAAATGATAACGTGTGCATGATAGAGAGAAAGACTAATGATATCTAATACACAATACTTTTTGTACCTTTTCAACCTAATTAATTTTTTGCCAAATTTAATTTTGTGTTTGAGCTTTTACTTTTGGCTCAAATAATTTAACTAAGATATTTTTATTGATTGAAATTTTAATTGAATTTTTTTGTTAGACTTAATTTTTATGAATTTAAATATTTAGTATAAATTATGTTATAAACCTATAAGAGGGTTTTTTTTAGGATTAATCTTAAATTACATTTCGAAAGACGGTTCGAATCTTAATTTATACCCCTAAAAATCAAAAATTTTAATTTACACCGTTAAATATAAAAAATTGTATCAATGCGTACCTCAAGCTAACAACAGTCAATTTGCCATATAAAATTAAATAAATAAATTATACTTAAATCCCTTTATACTTGTTACTTAATCATCTAAACCCTTCACATTTAAAAAATTACCCTTACATCTTTTGAGATTCCAAACATGACTAAAAATGTTTCCTTAATTGAACATTCAAATAATTTTGTTTAATTGATGTATTGCATTGGATATAAATAACATTATATAAATACCTGTATTATATTGAGCATTCAAATAGTAAATTTGATTTTGAATTTTAGAGTATAAAGGGTAGTATGAAATTATAATTTTTTATTAAAATAAAATCATATTTTTTAACGGTTATATTAACAGACATTAATGACAAGGTGTTATGGGTTACACATGCACAAACGTTAGGAAGTATATACGTAATATTCTAAATGTGAGGGGATTTAAATGATAAAGTGACAAGTATGAGGGGATCTGAGTATAATTTATTAATTTAGTTGTAGACGGCAATCTGACCACTGTTAGTTTCAGTTGTGCATCAATATATATATGTATCTTTGAGGGTATAAATTGAAAATTTTGATCTTTGAGGTACAAATTAAAATTTAAACATTTTTTTAGGGTGTAATTTATAATTAATCCTTTTTTTTGGAGAATTACACTTAGACTTCTTGAGTTTGTCACATAATCATTTAGACCCCTAACATTTAAAATATTACACATAGACCCCTTAACGTTTGTACGCGCATAACACTTAGATTCATACTGTAAATATATCCATTAATAAATTATACCTAGACTTCCTTAAAGTTTGTAAGTATATAATACTTAGACCTTTTAAGTTTAAAATATTATGTTTAAACCAAAAACACTTCAATCAAGGATAGAATATCAAATATTTTAAATTTTACAATCAAAATTCCTATTATATTGTATCATTTATTGAAATAAAAATTAAATTTTTTCTTAAAAAATTGTAATTAGTATACAATTATACTATCTATTGAAATAAAACTAAAAAAAATCAAACAATGGGTCTAAGTCATTCATAATAGAACATAAATTTTACATGTAAAATTCATGTTCTATTATGTCATTTATTGAAATAAAATCAAAAATAAAAATCTAGTTTTTTTTAAATCATTGTTAGTATATAATTATACTAACTATTAGAATAAAATTAAACAAGGAGTTAAACTGTAATGAACACAATATCTTTTACCTTTAATTGGGATAGTTTGATATTTTAATTTGGTCGTTTAAATGACCAAATTAAATTCTAATAGATAATATAATTGTATACTAATTACGATTTTTTAAGAAAAAATTAAATTTTTATTTTTAATTTTATTTCAATAAAAGATATATAGAACACGAATTTTAATTGTAAAATTTAAAATATTTGATATTTTATTTTTGATTGAAGTATTTTTTGTCCGATTATAACATTTTAAATTTAAGAGGTCTGTTTACAAACTTTAGGGGTCTAGTTGTAATTTATTAACGAATATATTTATAGCAGGGGTCTCAGTGTTACGCGCGTACAAACTTTAGAGGGTAGTGTGTAATATTTCAAATGTCAGAAAGTCTAAGTGATTTAGTGACAAATTTAAAAAATCTAGATGTAATTCTCTCTTTTTTTTTTAATTGGGCCTAAAGCTCGTGCTTTAGGTCCTTCTATACTCTCTAGGGTTTCAAAGCCTCACCAAATTTCCACCATCTGTCTCGAATTTCATCCATCGTACTGTCTAGGTTGTTTCCACTTAGAAGCTCGTCTAGTTTCCACAGTCTTTTTGTCGCACATACATACTTTGATTACCTGTATGTCTATCTATCTTGCATACCCACCACTTACCTCAGGGATGGCCCAACACAAATTAGGGGTTAAAACAAGAATTTTACATGAAATTTCATTTAATATTTTAAGAAGATAATTTTTTTAATTAGTATCAGACATTTTATAGAAAGTTGTGATATGATTTTGTTTTTAGGAGTTTTGAGATCGGGTGAGATCAAACAATAAATTGGGTGCAATTGTAAAGTCAGGATGTTACACATTAATAAATTGAACAAAAACTTAAAGTGACAACAAAAAAGTTAGAGATAATGACAAAAAACCAAAGCAAGACAATGAGCGTGGGAGGAAGCGAAAAAGTTGAAGAGAAACGATGAGAGTTAAGGTAAAAATAGTAAAAAACATCAAAAATGATTGTAACTTTTATAACTAGAAGTCCTTATTTTTATATTTTTTTAGAAGAATTTATTATATTTTATGAGTTTCTATAAGATTTACATAGACTTGTGAAATTGTTACATTTTAGAACATTTTATAAGACTTTAGATAGACTTGTGAAATATATTGGCCTTTAACTTTGTCAATTTAAAAGGGTTTCATAACATAAAATTGAATTAAAGGCTGAAAATTAAATTGGGGCTCTAAATGACTATTTTAATGGTTGGGCCCTAGAGCCGACCCTACTATGGTTCCTTTCATCCAAATGATTGAAGTGTTTCTGCATTTCGCAGTAATTATAGTCTCTACCCGTCATTCACTGTCGAGTCTTTGTCTATGAAACCGATTAAGTAAGACAAATTGATTATTTGATAATATGCAAAGATTAAATCTAATATATGTGTTATTCTATATTTTATACATTTTTTTAATTTGTCAAATTATGTGTAGACCATTATAAAGTACTGTCAGAATAAATATGTTCAATGTTACAATGTGGTGTTACATATATTTTTTTTTAGTAATTTAGGCATTTAAGATATATTGAACATTACATATGTGTTATTTAATACACATGCTATCTGCGTACAACTGTTCAATAGTATAATTTATATGAATTATAAATATATATAGATCATCTTGACTAACTACACATTTTTTAGTAAATAAATCTGCACATCTGTTTATCCTTCTTTTCTCTTGCTTGACCTGCACTTTTTTGAGATGCAATCTATTGTTTCATTACAATTTTTATGTTTTTTTTTAATTTTTTTTGTATGTTATTTATAAAAATTGTGGTAGTACATGATTGACTATCAATTTACATTTGTAATTCTTTGTTATTGAGTTATTTTACTATTTTTTTATGATCCTTAACTTGTTTATGTATGCAATGTTCACCTACTATTTTAGTGTATTTTATTTTTCCTGATAATAAATTTATTGAATTTTTTTTGATGTTAATTACTTTTTATTGTTGATCCTTTATGAAAATAAACAATTTAATTAATTGATATTTTTATATTTAAATGGAAACAAAATCAACTTTGAGAAAAATAGAAAATGTACTTGATTTATTTTTATTTATAGAAGAAATATGTTTATTATATTTTTTTATCCAAGTGTTAATCCTTTTTCTTTTCTGCCATTTAAAATGTGTATGTGTGAGATAGATTACACTTTTTGACCTAAATTTTAAATTTTATTTTATTGATTTAATTTTTCGAGTGTTCAAATTTTCCCATATCTGACCAATTTCAACCCTACACAACTTGATTGATTAGCTTCCGTAAAAATCGGCCAGCTAATGAAAGAATTTTTGGTTTCTCAGCTATGAATGCGAAATACCCACAAAAAATTTGCATTTTTACCTGATCCGACTCGACCCACATGTATAATTTTTTAAAGAGTAAATTGTACTAGAGATCCTCAAAGTATGAAGTTTGTCTCATTTTAGTCTCTAATATTTCAATTACATTATTTTAGTCTCTAAAGCATTGAATATGTTTTTATATGGTCTTTTAAGCAGACAACGTTCAGATTGCTAATGATTTTTTATCATAAACTTATCATGTAATACATAAATATAGACAAAAATTAATTTTGATAACTCTTAAACAAAATTTGGGTAGCTTTTGACAAAAAAATTAATGTAGGTAGCTTTTGACTAAAATTTGGACAACTCTTGATCAAAATTGTGTAATTTAGATAGCTATTTAACTAAAATTTGAGTAAAAATTTAATCAAGAGTTATTTAAATTATTTTTTTGTTCATATTTAAGTATCATGTGATAAGTTTATAATAAAAAATTATTAACAATTTAGACATTGTCTACTTGAGAAATCTTATAAAAATATATTCAATAATTTAAGAATTAAAACATTGTAATTGAAATATTATGGATTGTGACAAACTCCACAGACCTCCCTTGCAATTATCATAAAAAAAATATAGTAAAACCCACCATCAGTCGATTGATCCCTAGCGCGTCCTCCTATGCGAATCTCTCAGACTCTCGCCTCTCTCGCCGCCTTCTCTTCGAAACCGCAAGCCACACGCATCCAAGGTTCTCTCTCTCTCTCTCTCTTTCTGTATGACAGTCCATGTGTGAGTCTTAATTCCTTTTGTTTTTCTGGAATTGAAATCATATGATGAGAGTTGCAGGAGTTTTTTTTGGTTAAACTAAATTATAATGAGTTTTAATCATTGATCTATATTTCATTATTGAACTCTAAATTTTGGGGCATTTTTAATATGTAGGGCTTAAAGCCCATGCTTTTTTGAATAAACTGTTGAGCCGGCCATGACCTACCTTCACTGAGATTTCTATTAATTTTCAGGAAATTTGAAATATTCTGCCCAGTAAGTTCAGGTTAATCACAATATATGTCTTCTACTCACCATCTCTCCATAATTCTCTATGTTAGAGTAAAACCCAGCAGCTCTGTATTTTTATTTTTATTTTTTTGAAAAAGTATTTTTTTAGTCATGTTCCGTTTGATAGTTTCTGATAACTTAACGCAACCCAAAATGCTATCTACTTTTGGGAGGTGGGTTTATCTGGAATTTGTGATCTTTTGATGTTGTGACTACCGTTTGATGAAATGCTTCAGCGAATAGTTCGTTCTGTTTTCTATATGTTTGTGGGTTTCGTATTGGGACATGATTTTGAATACTTGAGTTGTGGCTCGAAAAAGATAATGTACGTAGATGGCTGGGAAAGAACTTCAAGCCACCGTTGTCTCGAGAAAGTCAAGAGACGAATTTTACCTTCATCATTACATGATAGTTCATATCTTATGATATCTTTGTTATAATGCTTTTATATTAGGGACAAGTTGTTTAATCTTTTGTTGGTCTTGGATTTGATGTGCGCTATTTATGCATAGGTTCCCAAGTTATGCATGTGGGTTAAGGTATTTCTCACCTGTAGTAGGTTGCCACTGAAAGGCAGTGCCTTTAGGAAATTGACTGCTAAGAGATGCTGTTGAAAGTGGCCCCTATATTCTACACCCATATTGATTACTTCATAAACTTTAGGGTTTTCATAATCTTTATTTTCTTGCAGAAGTAACGGGTTCTTTATAACTCAAGGGCACAATGAGGTTGGAGAAATGCTGGTTCTGTTCCTCTACCGTATATCCTGGACATGGTATTCAATATGTTAGGAATGATGCAAAGGTAAATTTAATTCAACTTTTCTTCATTGTTTGTACCTTGGCTTTAGTCCTTCCAATGCCTTGGCATCCTTGAGATTTTGTGCACATAAAAATTTTAAAACTGCAGATGTAAATTTTTTGATAGGTTAGTAGTTAGTTGATTAGAGGCCAACCTTAGCTTGTTTGAGGGCTAGAACTCTGGTGATTGTTTGACCTTGACTATTTGAGCCTACAAAATTTTTACAGCACTACCCAGATCTGACTAGATCAAGCTTCTCAATATTGCGATGAAACCAATCAATTTTGTAAGCAAGTTTATGTTTCCACGCATACATCAGCAATTCAAAGATTAAGTGATTCTCTAAGATGATATACCATATCTGCCAGTTACCTCTTGAAGTCTTGATCTTAGCTTTCTTGATTTGGATATGACTTCGATTCCTTGAATAGTATACGCTTTTTAACAAGTGCGAGGTGTGCTTGCATGCCTCTACCTTATGCAATTATTACTATTGTAGAGGCATGTGTAAAATTGACTTGATGTCTGGGTGCATATCCGGGTGTCTGATCCGAAAATGACACAAGGTGCAAGAATAATACAGCTGTATTTTTTTTCCCTTTTTTTTGTCTTGTGGGTTGGTCAATTTGAATTTACAATTTGCGGTGGTGGTGATCTCAGTGGTCAGAGTATATTCTTAATTTAATAGCAATATTAGTTGCAGGAATAAATTCTGACTGGCATGCCATTTGCAGATCTTCCGTTTTTGTAGAGCTAAATGCCACAAGAACTTCAAGATGAAGAGGAACCCTCGTAAAGTTAAATGGACCAAGGCTTACAGGCGTCTGCATGGAAAGGACATGACTCAGGTTCACAAAGTTGCTTTAATATAATTTGGCGGTCACTCATTTTCTTTGATGAGTCGTATTATTCCTTACTGATCTTACTTCGGTTGTCATGTATACTTTTGCTGTTGTATATTCCATTTTCAAGGACGCAACATTTGAATTTGAGAGGAAACGAAATAGGCCAGAGAGATATGACAGGAATCTCACGGAGAACACCCTGAAAGCCATTAAGAAGATTGATAAAGTTAGAGTTGATAGGGAGGCGAGACATCATGCATCGAGGTGCTTCTGCTTCTCAATTGCTCTTTGGATGAAAGAGTTGTATAAGGTCTTCACATTTTCCAATTAACGTATGTTGAAAATTTTGCAGGATGAAGGGAAAGAGAGCCAAGGAGCAGAGAGAGGCTGCAAAGGAGCTGGAGCAGAGCATCCACATGGTCAAAGCTCCTGCTGCCCTCCAGCAAGAGCCATCTCTCACCTTACCGAAGATCAAGGTCAAGGTTTTGCAGCAGCAATCAGAGGAAAATTGCATGGAAGAGTGATATTGTTACTAGGGAATGCTTTTGCACTCGTATTTGATACCTTTTTTGTTTGGAGTTTTTTGTATTTCTAGTTTTATGTGTTTTTCCTCCCTCATCAATTTCAGATAGTGAAAGATCAGAGTTTTCTTATGGATTGTCTGTTATGATTGAGCATGTCTGAATATGCTTTGGAAATCATTGTGATCTCTGGTATTATACCAACTGTGTGCTATATGGAACTTTTTAACAATGCTTTGGGGTTTCAAATAGCATTCCTGGCTCTCTTATATCTTTTTTTTTTTTGTGTAGCCTCTTGTCTTGCATGGTTGTTGATTTCATTTCTTCAGGAGCTATGTTTCGAATTGAGGTGATGCCCAAGGAGATCACTGATCTTCCTCGGTGATTTCCAATTCAAGTTATCTTTGTTTCTAGGGGTCAATACTCATGCTCACTTTGCCGGTTCTGAATACAATGGAAGGGGATAAGAAAGAATTATGATTTTAACAGCCTGCTGGTGTTTGGAATTCCTTACTTTAGCAGTGAAATTGACTGTTTCTGCACTTCTAATGTTCCTGTTTGCACGACGAATGTGTAGTGAAATAAGACCAATACCATGTAGGTAGGGGGAATGGAGGTTCCATGTCGAAGTTGATTGTATGCAGTACAACTCAAGGGAAAGAAGCAGCTCCTTTGGGCCACCACGCTGCCTCCGGGGTGGGTGGGGGTGTGAATCAATGGTCACTTGTTAACCACATCCACTCACATTAAAAGTAACTTGCACATGTAATTATAGTGCAGTGTAGATAATTTTAAAAGAGATAGTGATGATTATTGAATGAGTCTATTTGAAATTGTAAGATGAGTTTTCATTATCACTTAGTACCACACAATTATATGTAGGAGACTTTATCACATGTACGTTGAGATTAAAAATTAAAGTCTCATTGTGTGCTCTGAACGTTGAAGAATAAATTTAACGTCAACAAACTGTCGTAACTATAAAGATTCATACTCAAATATTATTGAGTGAGAAAATTTGAGTTCTTTCCTCTCAAGACAACAACTCGTTGGCGATTGATTTCACTTTCTAAGATGCATCGTGGGTGAAAATAAAAAGATTTTTTTTTGCAGACCTCACGTGTTCTCCTGCTCGCACGTGCAATACAAGATGACATGTTAGTTGTGTCCTTCACTATTCTCTCTCTGTCTGTCTCTCTGTATCGATAGAAACAACCTTAACCATATAAAAGAGTTCACTGTTTTAGCGCGAAAACAAAGAAAACACATAAAAACCAAACAATACACTCGAAAACATTTCCACAAAACATGTTTTCAGTCACAACCCCTCTCATCAACTACCGCCACCACTTAACTCACAAGTTCTTCCCCACACGTACCATACAGAACCACCCAAACTGTGCCTTCACAATTCGAAGTTCTTCAAGCTTGCAAGAAATCGAAAAACCCGCAGAAAAATCATCGGAGCAGAGAGACTTGGGCCAGAAGCTTTATGCTTCGGAGCCTTTTCCACCGATAAGGGCGGCGAAAAGGGTGGTCTTGGTTCGGCACGGACAAAGCACGTGGAACGAGGAAGGTAGGATTCAAGGGAGCTCCGATTTCTCGGTTCTTACTCAGAAAGGTGAGGCTCAGGCTGAAACTTCTCGGCAAATGCTCATCGATGATGCTTTCGATGTCTGCTTCTCAAGGTTTGACCAATCTGTTTGCTTGCTTTTGAATGTTTGGAAGCATTTTTGGTTGAGTTTGTTTTAAGAGCAATGTTATTGGGAAACTAATTTATTACCTAATTTGCTGACCTAATTCACTATAACCTTTAGATCGATTGTGACAGTATTTCTAGTTAAACTTCATTGTAGTACTTGGAATTTTGTTTTATACAGCGTTTGGGAGCATAGAGTTCAGGCCTTGGAAATGGCACAATTAGTTCAATTTTTAAAGTACTTTTCCTCATTTTTAATTCCAGACCTCAATTCAATGCTGCAAAAATCAGTGCTAATGTTTGTATTTTTTATTATCATTCTGATAGATTATTAAGGGGCATTTGGAAATGGAATGCATTATATTTCACTGTATATGTATAGAGATTAAATTAATTCATATATAGAAAGAGAAAAAAGGAGAGGAAAAATTAGAGTGACACTATTGATCTTTGCCAGAGAAACTAAGAGGATGCCAATGATCCCAACCTTCCTGGGTGACACCTTGTCTCTGACTTGGTAGCAAAAACATGTAAGGCTTGCTTTTCTAAATGTAGAAGCTGAATCCAATTGCATCTTGAAAATAAGTTGAGGTGGGAGAAAACAGAGTGAAGTCAACAGTGAAAAATTATTCCAAGTTAAAATATTCCCTGATTTTTTTTTTTGAAAAAAATTTGATTGCTTCAATTTTTTTTAAAAAAAAACCCTGTTCCAGAACTTAGAAAAGTACACTAATCCTGTATTTTGCTGCTATGACATTTCGATTTTTCAAAACAGGAATATGAAAGTAGCCATTCCTGCTTCACAAATAGTAGATTCTGTCACTTAAGAAATATATCATTGAAATTTAGTTAGGGATTGCTTGGACTTTTTGTTGTTGCACCTCACTGTTTCAGATTCCATCAAATGCATTTTCAACGTTTGGATCTCTGATCATGAATGGGGCTTCTACAAAATAGAAGTGACATAGTTACCCTTTCTTATGATATTTACTGCCATAAATTTTATTTTAATGTCATCATTTTGTGTATTCTGATGCTTTAATAAACATAATGGAGGAATTGGTTGTGACGCCCACATGCAGTGTAATCATATTTATTTTGGTGACATTGATCATGAGTCCATAAATCTGAATATCAGATGTGTATTTTAGGTTAATGGATTCTTGTGCGTAGATCAGTTATTATTGTTATATGTTCCTAGAACCATTCTCTGAAAGTTTATGCATTTCAGCCCACTGATCAGATCGAAGAGAACAGCTGAAGTTATCTGGGGTTCTCGCAAGGAGGAGATAATTACTGATTCTGACTTGAGAGAAATTGACCTGTACTCCTTCCAAGTTAGTTTGATTTCTCACATTTCTTTCAACAGTGCCTCAGCTTTCATTAAAATACAGAAAGATGCTTCAACAACAGGTGGATGTAACACTCGAATGCACAGTATTTAATTTAATGGTTGCTTGTCCATTATTAATTTTAGGGTCTCCTTAAGCATGAGGGAAAAGCCAAGTTTGGTGCAGCATATCGCCAGTGGCAAATAGATGCGGCAAATTTCAATATTGATGACCATTACCCAGTTAGGGAGTTATGGGCACGTGCTAGAAGCTGCTGGACTAAAATCCTAACCCATGAAAGCAGGTCTGCGCTGGTGGTTGCTCACAATGCTGTTAATCAGGCTCTTGTTGCAACAGCAATTGGTACCGTTACATGTATGTTTTAATTCAATTCTATGTATCTGAATTATCCATTTGAAAGTTGTTTTTCTTTTCTTCCCTTTGGTGTTTTCCCATCAATCAGGATTAGGGACCGAGTATTTCAGAATTTTACTGCAGAGCAATTGCGGTGTGAGTGTTCTGGATTTCAACCCACGAGCTGAAGGTGGTTCTCCATATATATGTCTTAATCGTCTAAACCAGGTATCCGGCATATACATATTGGACATTGCCCTCATTATGTTTTCCAACCAACCAAACCACCCTAGCCAACCAAACCAAGCCTTGTGGCTCAATCATCTATGTTGTTTAATTGCTTGGACACATTGCTCAGATAGCATTGGATTTTTTTTCTTTCCTTATGTACCCACAAGTTCTATAATAAATTTTCTTAATGTAATAGAACAGATGCCAGCTTAGATGCTTGGGCTGAATTGTGCTTCTTACAATGGATCACTTCCATGTCTAATGCTATCCAATTGTCTATCTTGATCTTTATTGTTTGTTTCCCTAGTTGCTGCTCGAGCATGGTTCAACGTTGGAAATATTCAGAAAATGCACACAACTTCTTTCAGGATGCCATTCGCTTGTTCCCAGAAATTTAATAAGGAAAAGAAAAATTGGTGAAAAAAACTTTCGTATCTGGAGATGAAACTTGATACTTGACTCATAGCAGCATAACAATTAAGATTTAACTTGTTCCTTTTAGCGGTATTGTTCGTTAAAGAGATGCCTAATGTTTTGGAATGGCCAGACCCATTTGATGGATACTCGCAGATACTGGTTTATGAGAAGCATTTAAATATGAGGTTTATATATGGAATGATTGGATATGTACTAACAAAAATAAGGTGGTTGACATGCATGAAATTCCACCTTCCTTCCATTCATCTGTTTCCCTTCTTCTTTAATTATTTCTGGGTTTTTTTGTTCTTGTGGTGCAAAGCTAAACCCTGCATCTGCTGTGTTTTTCCTTTTTGGTCCCATATGTAGAAACTTTCGCAAAGACAAAATTGATAGGTTTGACACTTTTTCTTTCTTAACATGTGCATATACATATGTCATGGTTTAATGGTGTGAAACGGTTTACTTCATTCAAATATATTTCATGCAGAAAGATGAATGAACGGCAGGGAGGGAAAACACAAAAAAAAAACCAAGAAAGAAGAAAAGGAATTCGACTGCCATTTGGATTTGCCTGATCCATATAGATACGTTAAGCAGAAGATGCAACTGGATTCTTTGTAATATAGGTTCAATGTGCTGCATGCGCTTGGATTCAACTGTGGGCTTTCTATTCTCTGGACTCATCAGAGAGCCAAACAAACATTGGAAATACATGTTTTTGTACTGGTCGTAAAGTAAAAATAGAATGTGCAGTCTGGATGACTAACCCCAGAAAAAGATTAACATTAGGAATTTTCTTAGCTTGCCTACTACATGGTTTGCCTCAATTATTCTGCATTTTACACAGCACAGATGTGGGTTAATATAAGTTGAATAGGGTTCTTTGTTTTTGTATGCCAAGGAAAATTTTCCTCTTTTCGAGTTGTTGATGTGGACCTTAATTTTGATTGTCTTGTAGGTTCCTTTGAAGTTCATGTTGTAATTTAAGTGTAGTTTGCTTTGAAGTTCATGCCATAATTTAGGTGCAAATGATGCAGACACCAAGTTCGCCTATAGCTGGTGGAAGCTCTGCAGGCAGAAAAGCTAGTGTGCGGATCATACTTGTGTGCCATGGAACCTCAAATTTTGATTCGGAGGTAGCAGTGTTTCAGTAGCGTATGGAAGTTTGTTTGCTATATTGATATTTTATGGTTATGTTGGTTGAGTGAGTGAATTTATATTTCATTTCTTTATGCATGCCAGTGGCGACATGCCTAAGCTGTACTTTTATCAGTTATACCGAATCAGAGTTGGAAAAATCTGAATATCCTCAAATTGTGCGAGTTATTCATAATATATGCTGATATTTTTCCTGATTGTTGGTTCACTTGATCTGTGATTGTTGGCTGGAATTAAATTATGATTGCAAGTTAGTTTTACCTAATTTCTCTCATTTGGGTTCATGTCAATTGATGAGCGCTTGAACTGCAATTGATGCACAATATCATAAAGATGTGCTAGTGATTCTGTGTGACACTACTGTGTTCTTAATTTTGATTCTAAAGAAATATCGTCACCTTTAAAAAACAATATTGCATTGAGTATTCATGGAAGGTAAGATTAAGGCAATCTTCTTAATTTTGGGGAGAGGTTGTTCAACATTAGGGCACTGTCAATAAAAGAGATGTTTGAGGGAGTTGCAGAAATTTTGAAGAGAATATGCTGCAGTAGGATGCAAATTCATTATCATATTCATGTTCTTGGTATTCATGTTCATATGTGAAAGAGAATATGGTACATGAAGATGCATATTAATTTAGCTTCATATGTCAATTGAAGTGCATGCTTCAGTAAACTCAACTCAATTCAACAAAGTTTTATCCTTAACTATTTGGGGTGACTTACATTTAATCATGTACAATCTTCATGCGAAAATATTTAGGGTGAGCTACTTGAATCCTAATTATTCATTGTGCTCTATCAAGAGTCATATTTTTCATTAAATCATAAGTTGTCATATCCTTTTTATCTCGTTCAAAGTTAATTTCGGTATACCTGTACTTCTTTCATTACCACCATCAATATGAATCAAATCGCTCTTCCTGAGTGCTACAGTCAGTTTTTGAATTTGTTGTTTCCTCATAGCCCAATGTTCTGTCATTTAGCAGCTCTTGTTTAATGACTGTCTTGTAAAAGTTATATTTCAACATAAGAGGTATAGATATAATATGCCACATGCTTTCCCTCCACTTAGTCCATCATCCTCTAATTTTTTACTAGCATCGTCTCAATATTCCCTTCCCTATGGATGATTGACCGCAATTACCAAAAATGTATGCTCTATATCTCTCGCCACCAATCTTTACTACCTCCTTATTTGAATTTGTATTATTTTTAAAATTGCATTCTATGTATTGAGTTTTATATATACTTATCCTGAATCATTTTGATTCTAAAGCTTCTCTCCAAACTTCTAATTTATTGTTAAGTACTACTTTAGCTTCATCACTATACTATATCATTAACAAATTATATTCACAATAGAACCTCACTCTTAATGTGTCTAATTAATTCATCCATAATAAAGGCCAAAAGGTATGGGCTTATTGTAGAATAATTTTGGTTAGGAGGAAACCCTTGAAGTTTCAAGGGATGATTGAGCTAACATTAGGCTGATTGTCAATCATATTTTAGAATAGATGTGTTGTTCGAAAAACATAATTCAAGGTATCTCAAAGAATTAATGGTGTCTGTTCAGAAGGCAAGCATTTAGAAAGGATTGGTGATGGGCATGAGATATATTGACTAACAAAGAAGTAATGATTTTTTTTTCTCAGATTTTATGAATTCAACGGGTTAGCTATTTTCAGTAGTCACAAATATGCATGTATCAGATTTAGATAAGCCTGACTGTGGAACCATCCCATGTTATGAATTTAGTTTTTCCAGTAATTGTGATATCATAAATAAATCTAACATAATTTGTAGTATGTCTATACATTACATCCAAGAGATTTGATGCTATTATAGTGAAATCATGGTTTAGATATGGTCCTTAAAAATTATTAGGATGTATTCTTATATAGTCAGAATGACTGGTGGGTTGCAGTTGATTTGTTGTTTAACCTATTGTTGCCAGCTGAGAGATATTGGCTCTGTAATCTGAGAAACTTTTGATGGAAATTTGCCGATAGGCTGGATATTAATGTTTTCTCACCCCTTTATACTATTATGTATGTCTTTCACTGCATTTCAGTGCCTTCATCTGTAGCGATGTATTGGTCTTTTTAAGTGTTGAATTTCTTCGACCCTTCTGTTTAAGAGTTACATTTTCTTCGGCATTGTCTTCACCATCTCATGCATTCTGGTAGAGCTGTTTGTTCTCACACTTTCCTTTCTATCTTAAAGAACTTAATCATAAGGTTAATATAACAGGTTACTATTCCTTATGCGAGGGACATGCCAATGAACATGCTTGGGGTCATACAGGTACAACAGTTTCTGATTTCCACATAAGAGTCAGGTTATTGGAGTTTCATAATCTAATTATGTTTGTTCGATGTAAATCAGTCCCAGAAAACTGCAGAGCTTCTTCTTGATTTGAAGGTGAAAACTATAATCAGCAGCCCTAAACAAGCTTCAATCGAGACAGCGAATGCCATCTCTAGAGTAAGCCTGTCCCTGACAATTCATATTTTCTTTGAACGGGGGATATAATATCTTTCAAATGTAAATGCCAACTTGCTAAAGTGATTATAGGTTCAAGAAGCTGCTGATTGCTTGGGGGCTGATTGTGTGCCACGCTATGTGGAAATGAAGCAGATGCAATACCTTGATGTTGAAAACATTCTTCAACAGTCGAAGAAGGCAAGAGCTGTAAATTGAAATTCCAAAGTATTTTAATCCCTGTTCACTTACCAAGAAGATGCAAGAAAATAAAGGAGTAAGAGAAAACTATTAATTTTCTGTAAAAGGCATACACAAATACAATCAAAACAACATGAAAGAAGTTAGAGCCAGTTGTTTTTGTAATGATGTTGTCTGGCCTCTGAAGGTTTTCCTTTTGCTTTATACTTTGCAACCAAATGGAGCACAAAGTGAAGGAAGCTGAAGTTGCACTTCCCCCATTAAGTGGCTCATGTAGAGCCAAGGATCAAAATTTTGTTTCGAAACAGTCAAAATGTACGAAACGTTTCTGTTTCCATGGAGATTGAAGCAAATCAATGATGGAATCGAATTTCTAATACTTCAAGGTGTTTCATAATATTTCGAGTTATTTTGTAATGTTTTAATGCATTTGTAAAATTGTTTCGAAATGTTTCAAGGTATTTCAAGATACTTTGAAATATTTCGACCAATATTTTGGAAAAATAATTCTTAAATTTTTATTTTTTTCATTCTGTTTCCGAAACGGGTTAAAATATTTCTGAAACATGTCGCAATGTTCTATTTCCTAGGTGACCGAAACAATACATCGAAAGGAAATTTTGATCCTTGTGTAGAGCATTGGCTAATCAAGTAACTATGTTCTAAGCGGAAGTGGATTTCATTTTACATAATGATCTCTCAGCAATCGCTTTTGCTGTTGATGCATTGCCATTTGCAGATGTTCATCATCTTGTGGTGTTCTTTCTTTATTTCTTTGTTTGACATTCTTCTCTTTTCAGCGGAAACAGGATGAGTACATTATTAGATATAGCATCATTGCAAATAAGCGAGCTCGAGCCCCAAGTCCTAAAGGCATCCATAAACATCATGGCCCTTAGCTGTGTTTATAGTGCTCGACAATCCCAGAAGGCCTATGCCATGCTATACTGCTTGCAGATTATATGCTTGAAAATCTTATGAAGCTTGTGCTGTGCTATACTATTTTTGGGATTTAAAGTATTTGGTGCATGTCAGCCTTATATTCCTTTCTTTTCTCCACAGGATGCGATAGGGGTACAAAATTTACCCTCCGGTTGGTTAAATGGACTTGAGGATGGAGTATTGATGGCATTATGGGATCAATCAGGGAAGGCCTGGAGATCTCTGTTGGCTGAACTATCCAGCGGAACTGAGCCAGGCAATCTGGTTGTTGCAGTTGGCCACCCTGCAGTTCACATTGCATTGACGGGGCACTGCCTAAACCTGACTAAAGAATGGATGGGATCATTTCATCTTGATGCTGGTAGCATCAGCGTAATCGATTTCCCTGATGGGCCTGCTGGAAGAGGGGTTATCAGGTGCACAAATTACACTGCACATCTGGGGAGGTGGTCTATACCCATCACAAGATCAACACTGGATGATGAAGAGTTCTAAATGTACGTATGTATAGTTCTGAAAGATAATTTGAGCACTTGTTAAAAAACATTAAAATGCTAAGTGAATCGTTGCTATTTCGAAAGAAATTTTCATTGATCTTTCATTTTCCTGAAAAACAAATAAAACTGATCTTTCATCTACTTTCTTGTACAAAATGTTGGTAGGACCATACTGTACTACTTGCTTTCTGTAAGTCCTTACGCCTTTAAATTTGAATATATTTTGTTGAGTTGGATACCTTGACAACACATCTTATCCGACGACATAAGTATTGATCCCCAAACTTCCCATTGCTTTGGTGAATATAAAATCTCATAGCTGGGAAAGCATTATGTAAATTTACTGGACCCATCTCTCTGCATAGGTTTCATGGCCTAGTTCTTAGGAAACAGTTTTTTTCTTGAAGTTGTTGGCTTAAGTACCTACTGCATTACATTTTCCCTTTGCCTGGAAGACAGGGCAGAGTTCATTGAATCAATATTGGTACAGTTAGGGACCTAACTTGTTGGTTAAGTGTGAGTGAAGTCATGGGATGTGATTTCACCATCTGTCTGGTATATGGACCAGGTTGTGTGTGCCCTCTGATTTAGGCACTATTGCACTTGCAGCTGACCAAAGATATATTCTGGCCTTGAAAATAACTACACACATTTCTTGTCATCATGAGTCATTCGGAGTTTGGATCTCCTCCGATAAATTACTGTCATGATGTCAAGTGAGACCCACCATATATAAGTAGTGGTCCACATTAATACTTGACGGGTGATCCGCTTGTGAGAAAAACTGAGAAAAAAAACTTATTGGAAGGGGTTTGGAGCTGGCTGCATAGTCATTGGCTAATCTAAGCATATATTCCTTTATATATGACATATAGAGAAAATCGTGTTTGTGGATTTTATGGACATTTTTTTTAAAGATATAGATTGATCAAATTTGGTTAGTAAGGTTGCTCAAATATGACTGATAATTGAGCTAAGTAAATTGGGTTTAGCTTGTTAGGACTCGACTTGAGCTTGGTTTGTGTTTTACACGAGCCAAGTTTGAACAATTTTTAGGCTTGTAAAATAGTGGTGTTATTCAGGTTTGATTCGGGTTCAATTTGGCTCATTTTTTAAATATGCTGAACTTGAGCAAATTCTTTAGGCTTGTTTAGAAAAATAAACTCGATAGACTCGGCTTGAGCTTACAAAACTCGACTTGAACTCTCAAAATTCGACTCGATTATCAGTCCTATGCTCAAATAGCTTTAGATTGAATTTGGCTAGAAAAAAATTTGGCATAGAATAAAGAAATTTTAGTTTAATGACTGAGTTCAGCTTTGATTATCAAGTGAATGGTCAAAGAAAACTAAGAACATCTATGAAACTTGGACTGCATAATTTAAAGTATCAGAGGAAAGGAAGCTAAGGCTGAAGATGTAAGGAAAGCAAGTTGAATTTACAGATTTTTTTAACAATTGAGGACTATCTCAACCATGAGTTCTTTGTACTCAAAGTTGCAAGGTAATTTTAGAAAAGATAAATCTCCTATAAACTACGGGAATCGGGTCAACTAGTATGTCTCTTGCGAGATTCAAATTTAGAACTTAGAAGTATTGGGCAATCAAACCCTATAATCCGGACTTGTGAGGGGTTAATTGCAAATTTTACATTTTGGTATGTATGAACTCAGGCTAGCAACAATATGCAGAAATCACTGAGTAGGGTGGTCTAGTGGTGGTACTAGCTTTACTTTTCATCCAGAGGTTGAGAATTCGAGTCTTAGAATCTTCATTAAGAATTGGTGATTGACCGCTATACTATCTTAGTTAGATTTGAGCTCGAATTATAGTGATTGACCTAAACTTATTCATCACATGTATCTTAACAAAAAGATAATGAATACAAATAGTTACATAGCGGTGACATCCCAAGTGAGTTGATATACGATATGTTGATATTTCAATTTTGGCCTATACAATCTTAAAATATATTATATAAGAAATATCAAAAAACCCCACTTACAAGACAAAGTAAATGGATCGGGTACTTTCACTCCATCTCATCATCATCGTGGTCCCAAGCCTAAGAAGTCTTATCTCGTAGATTCGAATCATCAAAATATCTTATAAAACGTAACAACCATATAAGTTTTGCATACATACGTATGTAGATGTGAGGGGATAACAAGGACGGAAGATTATTAGTACCATAATGTTTTAGATGATCTCAAATGAAAATGACTTGTCCTTCAAAAAAAGGAACAGAGAATTTAAAAGTCACTTTCCAATGTTAATCAAATGGTTTTATGCAAACGATGTAAATCGAAAACTTCCAAGAAGCAATGAACCCATCAAGCTCTCAACTTGTTGTATACTAATTTGTAGTTATCTTTGACTAAACAGATTCATCAATGATGATGTAGGGGCATTGCATTATTTTAGTAAAACTATTTAAATTGTGCTTAGCTTGGAAGACTAAGATTGCACATGCGTAGTAGATGAGCTGTCCTTTCGGTTTGCATTTGTTTAACCAAATTTTATTAACAAAAATGTCTAATGAGGTTTTATGTGGGTCTAAGAGAATTGGAATAAGGAAATGTGAACTAGTTGATTTAGTGGTTGAACGAGACATAAAAATCTGCATATCCTCAATTCGAGTTCCATTGTAGTGTAAAATATTAAGATGTAGTTGACATACTTTATGTTTTGCGAGTTATATCATGAGTGCAAAAGACACATAATTAGGACGATTTTTCATTACGAAAAGAAAAAAAAGAGCAAAAATTACAATTTTTGGGAGTATGTACCAATTTTTTTTTTAATTCTTGGAGCGATGGAAGATTTTCATCCGCCCAAGTGATATGTTACTGACTTGAATTTTAAAATGAGGCTTTTTGAAAGTAAATACGACTGTCTATCACTTACTCTCCTAAGCTCGGCCATAATAACAAAAACCTTATGCAGTGCTTACGATTTTATTTAGAGATGCTCAAATTGTATCTGCATCAATTCCTCATTTCGGTAAATTCTTTTGGATTGAACATTGTACACTTAGCACCTAGGATAAATCCAAAAACATTCAACTAAACTCATTTGATGTTTTCTTGATTTCATCTTTTTCTGCTCAAGTGATTGAAAGGCACAATTTCGAAAGGCAAATATAGCTTTTTTTTTTTGGTGTGAAATGCTAGGAGGATGCAATTAGACATACCAATTAGACATGGTCAAAGGTGCTTAGGTTAGTTTACGCACATTTCGACTAATTCTCTTTTCAATCTGGTCAAAGGTAGATTATCTACGTCAAGACTAAAGAATTGATAAGTGATAAATTCTATATGACTTGACCCTAAGAGAATTACTAAGTTTCGAACTAAGTTTACAGTTTATCCCTACGTCTACAGGGCTGTCTCTTGGAGTTGAACGACTGATATTAAATTTCCATTGTCCATGGCCACACATAAAATAGTGAAATGATGAAATGAGACACCTAAACCATGCAAACACATATCACATTATTCTTTTTGTCGACCTGTTATTCTCTTCCACTAGTTGTATGCCTTCAGTTGCTTGCATCTTCCAACTGTTTTATATACAAAATTGACCAAGGCAGTTACCGGGTCTTTTGTTTCTTGTCATTCCAACTTGCAACATGAAATCAGATCCCAATAAAAAAAAAAAAAAATACTTGCAGCATGCATGACACAATCGTTCTTTGCTTACGAGGATTGCTTCATACCCTAGAAGAGTCAAAACCATTATGTTTGAAATAGTTCATGTGATCAAAAGTTTTGTAGTTCTCTTGTGATCAAAACAAAAATAGCTCATGAAAGACCAGTCTTAGGGGTGACTTTATAGTCTTCCTTGGCGCTGTCAATTTTTGATATGATACGAATCGAATACAAAATTAATGAGTCAGACATAAAATTAAACGAATTAATGAGTTAAAAATGGATCAACACTCTTAAACATGAAAAAAATCATATCGGATTCGTTTAACCCGTTTATGACAGTATAATTTGTTTATTATGTATGACTGATGTGATCTTAATATTATTACTTATTAGTTCTTACTTTTATTATGATAATTGACAGTATAATTAATATTATTATGACAATATACTAGTATAGTTCTTTCTTTAATTTTTGGGTTGAAATTTGAATGTATTTTAGTTAATTTCATTGATGAGATGTGATATCTTATTTGTGAAAAAATTATTTGAAATTTGGATGAATGATGAATGATGTATTTAATGGTAATGAACATGTGTGAAAACAGGTTATGTGTGTTAAATAAGTTTGTATTTTGTGTATTAAAATAGTTAAACATTTCATGTTATATGTGTTAATCCGAAAACGACATGTTTATTAAATGTGTCAAACATGTTGGGTTCAGGTAACCCGTTTAATGACCAGGTCAGGTTAGTATTTACACATCTCGACACGATTATTAAATATGTCAGGTTTGGTTTTGGGATTTTCAACACAAAATCAAAATTAACCCGACACGAAATGACTCAACTCAACACGTTTGACACACCTAATCCTCCGAGTAAATTATACTTTGACCCCTCAACTATGTCCTGTTTCAATTTATTCCTTAACTTATTTATTGGTTTTATACTATATGAAAACCGGTTCACCGGTTTCTCGTGTTGAACCCATCGGGTCGGGCGGGTCAGGTTTGTGGGGGTGAGAACTTACTTCTCTGCATGTTAGCTGGGCCAAAACAGAGGAATTTCCCTATAGCTTTTTGATTGTTGCCCTCACGTTTCTGGTTGTTTAGACACTTGGCGCCTATATTTTTTGTATTTATGCCTTACTCTTTAAGTTATGCTTCTATAGTGAAGAGATGATGAGTATGGAATAATCCATTCTTTCCGACAACCAAATAAGGCATAAAAAGTAACCCCCATGCATTTTCACTAAGATAACTAATCTATTAAAACCTCTTAACACATGAGCTGTTTGATAATGACAACAAATCTGTTTCTGTTTGGTTTGTTATAAACTGAATGCCATGAGACACCTACTTTTTGTGCTGTTGGAACTAACACCAAACGAACTTGATGATACTTTTCGTGGTTAAGTCTATCTTTTTATTTGTAAGAGATTTCAAATTTGATACTTGTTACATTTTTTAAGAGTTAACCATCTTTATTTTTCAGAGGAGATGCATTCTTAAATTAGCTCGAGCTACGATGATCAGTCTCAGAACTCGAGGAAATAGTCGATACAAACCTGAACACATTATAACAAAAAAAAAAGAGTTGATTTTGCACATATTAGCCATTGACTTTTGTATTGGCACGGACATGTGGTGCTTTTGGTCCAGTTTCTTAAAATTTAAATTCTACTCACCATATCAATGTCACATCATTTAATTTCTATTTTTAGTCATATTTTTTGATTAGTATAGTATTAAATTTCATTCAGCCGGAACCAACATTACAAACATTTTGAGAAGTAAATATTTAATACAACCGTGCAATCACGTCATTATTGACACAACATATCATGACCCAATTCCAAGATATCACACCTACACATATCTAGTAAGTATTGGATTATGTTGGACACACACATATAGGTGGGATCACAATGCATCTCTTACGTTTTATTATTGAGTTATAGCACCACATGTTAATAAGAACATACCATCACAATTTTAATGAATGTTAACTCCATTTTTGAGATTTTGTTACTCATTTTGCATATTGTTTGCTATTTTTTTTGCCCTCTGTAAGGATAGATGCTGCTGGTGACAAGCTTAGAAGTTCAATGGTCCTGGTTGCACATTGAACAGTTTTGCTGTGGCTTCATGACTAGATTCGGACTACTCTCCTCTTTTTTTGAGCTGTGTTAAGAAAACCCTTCTTATAGAAGGTTTACAAATAATTCGAACAACTAGTGATATCCTTATTATTCCTAACTTTCTATGCGAATAATGCTAGTTTGATCTAATTAGTTGATCTAATCTATTACGGATATTGGTTTAATAGTGGTTCGAAATCAACCTTTTTTGCTATCAATCTAACAATGACAATAGACTAAATCAACAAACTAGATTCAAACAACAAAATTGATGGCAGATATTATGCTGGGACAAAGGGCGCGCATTGCCACAATGATAAGATTACTCCATTGTGATATGGAGATTATGGGTTTAAGTTGTGGTAACAGCCTTTTTGGTTGCAGGAGTAAGGCTGCATACATTTAACCCTCCCTAGACCCGACAATAGTGAAAGTCTCGTTCACTAGGTACGCTCTTTATTATGCTGGGACTCAATCACCTACCAACACTAACTCATGGTTGCCAGATCTAATGAGAGGTAGATGCTATGGGACACTTAATCTTTGTAGGGCTTTGCTCAGTGATTCTATTCAATAGTTCCTTCACATGATTTGGTCCCTTTTCATATTCACTTATTCAGAACAATCTATTTGTTTGCCATAATGGGGGAACATGCCCTAGGACCTCACCTTCTGGGGTCCATACCCTAAAGGAATCCCTCTTCTTTTGTACCCAAAGATATGTAAGAATGCCCCCATTGAATTGTTATATGCTTGTGTGATAGATTCCCCATCCCCTTTCCATTCCCCCATTCAAAATTTTCATCTTCTATTTCCATGCCAAGGAACATTAATGGATCAAATTTATTTAACATAATTTGCCGATACAATGAACTGTTGCTAGCTGAACCTAACCTAAAAACACAAGTCACTAGATCTAAATCTGTTAGATTGATAGTGAATCTCGAATTCCCTATTGTTTCACTCATGATATTGTTGAATTATGTTACCAAATTGGATATATAATTTAGAATCGACTAACATTACTTGTCAAGGAAAGTACCACTAAAGTGTCATCATATGTCGAATAATAATCATAGAGATACACCATCAGCTTCTAAATCCCCATGTCTTTTATCTCTCCTTTTCTTATGATTCTCTTTTGAGCTTTGTACAGCTTTTATGGTTTCCAAATTTTTTTCTTTCTTTTCACTCCTTCTTGCAGCTTTCATCCTTATCACATCACCATGGCTTTTGCTTTCTTTTTCTTTTCAGTTATGTATATGTCCTACATTGTTCGTTTTGAAGGTTTTCCATTTGTGTGTGAGGGAAAGAAAAGAGAAAAAGGGAGGGTCGTATATATTTCATAAAAAAAGGGTATTTGGCTCCTCTTCAGTTATAGTATTATTGGAAGATTTTCCTTGAACGGTTGAAATTTGTCCGAATCAATAAATCCCACAAATTCGAAAACAATCGTGAATTGTTGAAATTAAGGAAAAAAACATATTTTGTAGGTAACCCTAACTAATGATAGGGTCATGTTGGAGTTCTTATCATTAAGGGTGTTAATCGAGCCAATCTTTGCAAGTTTGAGTCCGAATCTGTTGAACTCGTTTTTTTTAAATGAACTTAAAAAAATTCAAACTCGACTTGTTTAAAATTCGAACAGAGGCCGAAGTGGAGTAGCTCAATTATTTTACATATAAACGAGCAGAATTTTTTAGGCTCGTTTTTTCAAATGAATTTAAAAAATTGTTCAAATTCAGTTCATTTAAAACACGAATCGAGCTCGAGGTGAATCCGAATAACGCTCAATTAACATCCTTACTTAGCAGTTATGTGAAGGGTATGTAGCAAGGTGTAAAGGCCCTATAAACCCAAACTTTAATAGGTTCATGGGGGGGGTACCAACTGAATTTAATGTTCTTCTCTTTCAACTGCAACCTTATGACAATTTATATTAGAAAACGTAAAAAAATAAGTCATTAATTTAAATACTCAGTTAGGTAATTAAAATAAAATAATTATGTTACTATTTTTATTGTTGTTGTTATCAATATTATTAATAAGGGGGGTTAAAAAGTAACATGAAAGAAAGTTTGAAGCTCACATTATTCCTCTGCTTTTAATCATCGGTGTGTTGGGAGTAGGAGTTGGTGGGTCAACAGACAGGTTTTAATTTGTGTGGACCACCTTTCGTTATCATTATCATCTCAAAGCCATATCACCCTTAGTTAAATGCACAAAAATTATCCCATTTACATCACCCCATGTATCTTTCAATTCTACCATATTTGACTGGGAAATCAAAACTTTCTTACCATGTTTGGTCTTATTTCTCGCCATTCAAACAGTAGCAGTTAGCCAAAGGATGAGAACTTTTGTTCCTTTCCATTGAAACTACTGGAATAACTTTTGTATTTGGTTGAACACTCAAATTTCAATTCTAGGAGTAGTTAGGATTAGTTCAAGTGATAACAAGGATGAATTATAAATTCAGACGTCCTGAGTTTAAACTCAAGTTGTAATAAGGATTTATTTATCATGACTAGCATAGTTGTAGCGTGGATGACCTGCTTTTGATTAGATCGGGGAGGGAATTAGTCTAAGTGCACATAAGCTGGTCCAGAAACCTTTAACCATTGAACAAAAAAAAAAAACACTCCAATTTCAATTTTCTAAGATGCTTCAGAATGTTTTTGAAGTGTTTTGGGATAGTTCATTATGTTTCAAAAACAAAATTGTAAACTTTTTCTCTATTTTTTTCTCCAAAATATTTTCAAAACATTGCTCTTTCCAAAACTATTCACTGAAACTGAATTTTGATCCTCGCTAATCACAATTAGCAAATTGAAAATTCATTGTTTTAGCAGCTTCTGCCTTATTTTTGATCTCTTAGTCAAGCACTAATCCCAAGATACCAAGAATTTAAAAAGAAACCATGTTATTGTCACTAAATTGCCACAGTCAGACCTGCCCCAACTTCATTATTTTTTATATGCCTATTTTTTTTCCTCTCCATTTTTAAAGTTTTTGGATATCTCAGATGAACTGGCAAGAAAGAGTAAAGAAAGAACCCTGAAAGTTTTTCTTAATGTTTTATTTTTTTTCCATTCTCATGAGATGCAAATTTAAGGTGAGGGGGAAGAGAGAGAATCATATTTAATGCATATATGTGCTTGTTGTCAGGAAACTGAATTTCATTGCCTTTCCTCTCATTTATCTTCCTCTAAGTTTCCTCCTCAGAATAATCAAAACCTCTCTCTTGCCTTCAATTCAATCTCTTCATTTCTTCTTAGGACATGGTTAGGGACAAATACCCTTCACTTTAAACCATCATCTCTCTCTCTCTCTCTCTTTCACTGTGTGTGTATGTGTATGTGTGTGTGTGTGCAGAATGAGGGACATAGCCTCTTGTTTCAGTGAATATGCAATACAAGTTTCTGATCCTTCTTGTTCCAGTTATTCAAATCATTCTTGTATCTCTCCTAGTCTCATCCCCTCAATCCAAAACTCAGTCACCTGTCTATACAAAACCATCCTCTCCACCCAAAAGCAGCTCTTGATAACAGTCACATGGTCCAAGAACAACACCACTCAAGGCCTGAACATAAACTTCAATGGCGACTCATCAACCATTTTCAAACTCAATACAACTTCTCGATTACTTAGGAAGAAGAAAGGCAGCAGATCATTAGAATCTGATCATTCCAAGTTTGAAATTTTCTGGGATCTCTCTGCTGCCAAGTACAGTACTGGTCCTGAACCAGTTGATGGATACTATATTCTGATCATGGTTGATGCAGAATTTGCACTTGGTCTTGGTGACATTTCTGAAGAAACCTCTGCGAAGAAGCTCAAAAATGGCGGTCCAGTGGCTAAATTCTCACTAGTTTCAAGGCAGGAACACTTTTCAGGCAACACCCTTTATTCAACCAAGGCTCAATTCTCAGATTCTGGGACTTCCCATGATATATTGATTCGATATGGTGGAGAAAATGAAGGTCTAAAACATCCGATTTTATCGGTATCTATCGATAAGAAGACAGTGATTCGGGTAAAGAGGTTGCAATGGAATTTCCGAGGAAATCAGACAATTTTTGTTGATGGTTTGCTGGTTGATCTCATGTGGGATGTTCATGATTGGTTCTTCAATCCTGTCTCTGGCTGTGCTGTGTTCATGTTCAAGACAAGAAGTGGATTGGATAGCAGGTTGTGGTTGGAGGAGAAGGTGGTTCAGAAAGAGCAAGAGAAAGTTGAATTTTCATTGTTGATCTATGCTTGTAAGAGCTCATAATGGAAATTTGTTCTGTTATTTTGCCATTTTTTTTGTTTGGATTCCTTCTTCATTTTCTTTTCATTACTCTTGGAAGGAAAATAGACACTATTCTTTTCATCATTAGTAAAATGACAATAACCCAGACTGCAGAATCAATGTGTTTTTTTGGCTATCAGAAATGTAAAATGTAGGTGAAACATCTACGGTTTTGATATTCTCTCTCTCTCTCTCTCTCTCAATGTTTTGTTAGAAAATTATGGCAACGGAGTTATTCATTGGAATTCCTATTGATCACATCGATTGGTCTATCAAACCCATGAATGACTCTAATTTTCCAAGCCTTTAAAAGTCTGATCTGAGCACTACTCATAATGGAAACTTGTTCTTTTTATTCTGCGTTTTCTGTTTACTTAACTGTTTTAATTTCTTCTTCAATTTTCTTTTCATTTCTCTTGGAAGGTAAACAGATACTATTCATTTTATCATTAGAGAAGTGGCTATAAGGCACAATGCAGAATCGATGTTTTTTGAGTAACAGAAATGTAAAATGTAGATGAAAACATCTATGGTTTTAATCTCTCTCTCTCTCGTTAGAAAATTACGGAGTTATTCATGAGTATTTTCCCACTGATCACATTGATTGATCTATCAAATGATTCAAGCCCATGAAATACTTTAATTAAAGAATTATCAAAACCCATGAACATATGGTCTGATTGGAGCTAAATATGTCTAAGTGTTTCAAATTTTCAAGCACTAAAAAGTGAAAGGAAAAGACACCCAAGTTTGCTTTGGGGATTTTTGAAAGATTTCAATGAAACTTTTTTCCATATATGCTTTTGGGGATTTGGACACCTCTCGAGAAAGATTGCTGCAGGTTAAAAGTACAAAGTTGAGAATCTCTTGATGGTGATCAGAACAGTTGATCCATCTAAGTATCATTTCCATGATGTATTATTTTGCAGAATTGAAATATTTATTTGCATAATTAGCATAGAGAATATTAGCAAAAGTAGAGAGAAAGACAATAAGAAGGGTAGCAAGAAGATGAAATCGCTGATAATTATCTTCTGAAAAGTGAGAGTTAGCAGTTTCTCTCTCTTCTTTCAGGAAAGTAAATTGGGCAGGCAGATTTTAGAGCAGTGGGTGTTGTTATGCCTCCTCCAGTTCTTCACTGAGCACAGTCATGGAGTCCCTTGACTTTTGTATTTCCGAGGCTTGCAAGCAATAACTAAGAAGAGCAGTTTAGAAATTCTCATTTACATTTGACCACAGATCAATACTCAGCGCTTGTCATATGATAGAGATAGTCGTTTTTGTATAAATCGTAGCGTTAGGTTGTCAAATTAGTAATTTTACTATTTATGAAAAGTATTCAAAAAACTCAAAATTATTCTGGAGAATTCAAAATTTAGTTTTTTGTTGACGGAATCTTGCTGAAATCGTCTTATTTTTCATAGTTTAGATTGAAACTTTCTATTTTTAGTAATTATTGTATAAATAAGCTTTTACGCCGTAATTTAAAGATCCAATGTATCATATAAACTCTCTAGCTATTGGGTTGCCTTTAGCATTCTACCAATTACATTTTAGAGACTTTCCTTGTGAATTTCAGATCATGGGTGATTGTTTTTCCGTAAAGATGACAGTGTAAAGGAATGTAGATGATACAAACCACAAAAACATTCAAGGGATTACATGTAAGGGACCATCCGGAGCTTAATACAATAAAGGCTGCAAATCAATCGACTTGTTCATAAACAGGATCGATTCAGATTAAAGCTCGTTCAAGTTCGTTTATTTATAAAATAAACCTTACTCGGGCTATTTAAAAGTTCGTTTATCTAATACGCTTTACTTGAGCAATAACTATTTCAACTCATCTAACGTTTTGGTGACAAATATGGAAACAAAATGTATAAAGCTCATTTTGAATCTGAAACCTGTCTACATACAAACTGGGATTCGATTAGATTTAATAGACTTGCACCCTTCAATACAACATAAATATTAATGGAGACATTTAACAGGGTATGCCAGAGTTCACACATGCAAATGTACTTATGTGAATGGGTCATGCATTAAATTTGTGTCCCTGTTATGCATGTGACACTCACTTTATATTTAGAAGCTCTCCTTGCCAACTTTAATTGACAATTCAACTATCTCGTATTGTCATTTCACAAAAGTGCTTTTCAACAAAATGGCAAGTTTATTCTCTCCCATAACGCATTGGAATGAAACCAAGACACCAAGTACCTTCTGCATCAGATGAGTGGACTTATTATGTTCCGAGCTAGACACGGCAGAACAAGGACAGAGCTTTTGCAACCGACACATATCAATCATAAGGGATGGCAATTGGGCCGTAAACACATAATTCCCTAATTGTATCATGGTTTTTAGTCCTAACACGACCCAACAATTGATTAGCCAAGTATCAAGACATGACTCTCTTACATAAAAGCAAGTAAGGCCACCTAATTCACAGTGGTCCTAAGCAAAAATGTTTGCTCTTTGATGACCTACTTCTATCTTCCCCTGTTTCAACATTCAAGACCAGATGAGTCGGTCTTGCTTTCCCTTGTGAAATGGTGTAGTAGTGCTTGACCTGGCTGCTAAAAGTGGTCCATCCATATTTGTGTAGGTGAGGACTGGACATTTAAATCTGAACCATACCTCTTAAATGGATTAGGTAAAGGAGGCTTTGTTGAAAAGCAGCCCCTCCCTCGCCCATACTTAGTTTTTCTTTTGCTTTGCTTTTTTAAAAACTATTGCTTTTTTAATTTTTGGATTTGAAGTCAACATTAACACAATAAGCAAAACTGAAAACATAAATCTGGGAAAATTAATTATACAATGGTCGTATCCATGAACGTTGCTTATACAACAGTGGTCTGAGAGCAGTAAGAGGAAGACATCTTTGCTTTCATTTGGAGAAGTTAGTTTTTGAACTCAAACGCACAACGTATCATTCATGCTTAATGAATACGTGCCATAACCTAATCCGAATCAGTCCAAAGAGTAATCAAGCAGCCTTGCAATCATTTTTCCTAGTTCCCATCTTCAGTGAATCCTTCCAAGTTGTGGAGGTATTCCTTGCTTAGTAAGATCTCACCATTTATTGCAGATTTAAATTCTCTGTAGTATATTTTCTCTTAATTTTTCACAGTGGTAAATCACCCGTGCCATGAAACAAAATTGGTAGGAAAATATAGCGGAGAAGATCCAAATCCATTCATGTCCTTCATATTTGCACCTTGGGGAGGCACAGTACTTGGATCAATTGTTATTGACAGTAGTACCTTTTGTTTGCTTTTCTTTTCTTTAGAATCTGCTGCGTACTTTTGCTTCCAAATTCTCCATTTTATCGTAAATGTCTCCATTGGCCACCAAATTTGAATCCAAAACAATCTTTTGTAAATCTCACATCGGCAATCATGTTGTGTCGGGCATGTTTATATCATGTCATTCGTGGGTTTGTGTCGAGTTTTAGTTAATTCTAACCTAATTTATTTAGTTAATCGTGTCATGTCGACACAACCTGTTTACTTTCGTTTTGACCCTTATAACACGTGAATACAAAAATTTAAGTTTAAAATTTCATTATCACTTAATCAAACTCATGCTCATACTTTTTTTTATAAATTGAAAATTAACTTAATAGATATAATAATAAAATTGAGTAAAAATATTTTTTTGGTACAAGAATTATGTAAATACTTGATAAAAATAACAAAAAATTGTCATTTTAATCCTATAATACTAGTTAATTGTGTTAATTTTTGTATTGTTCGTGTCTGACATTAACCCAATTTATTTATTATTCGTGTTAACTGATCATGTTATTTACGGGTTTGTGTCGAAAAATTGTCAACCCAAACCCACTAATTTTTTTTTCAATTTCGAATTATGTAAAAAATTGCCACCCCTACCCCCACCTTGCCCTAAAATTCCAAAGTCTCACATCTGCAGCCCAGAAGTCGGTTCAAATTGAATTTCATAATTGTGGGAACTTGACCCAACATTAATGTTGAAATTAAAGTTTACAAAAGAAGTCCCATACATTGAAATTCCAGAATTGTAGGAACTTGACCTAATTTTTATGTTGAAATACATGTCTACAACAGACCAGAATGTGCATGTTTGGCAGCCTCAAACAAAGCGCTCCACTTTCCACTTTGTTTGGCCAATCCGTTGCAAAAGCAATTTTCTACCTACAAAACCACTTTGGTTGGCAATCTTTGATAGGATGACCTTGGTATTTTATTACTTTAAGGAATGTAGGGTGCTCAATTGTGAGTTATATGTGAGATGATGTCCCATTGTGTAGGTGAGACTTATAATTTATAAACATCTCCTAACAGATTGACGCATATTTTCTCGTATTAAGTGAGATAGTTTGGTAAAGATAACGCTCTTTTCGTAACATGCAACAGATTCCCATGGAAGTAATGATGTGCGTGTCCCAACATGAACTCTTTGCATGTCAATTGTTGGAATCGTAATTCTGAATTGGGCCTCTAAGCTGAGCCTAGTCTGAATTGGGCCCGTCATGATTTAAAGGGAATCATACTTTGCATCCTAAAAATTTAAAATTTCTTACTTTACACTTAAAAATATTTAATTTTTTATATTACACGGATAAAAAAAAAGGGTTTAAATTTGTTTTGGTATATTTTTAATATTATGGGCTGGTTTCAATAATCAAAATAACCCAATTTTATTTTTAATTGGGTTTAAATTTTCATAAGAATTTTTTTGGAGCTTAAAATCTTGTGAATCTAAATTTTATTAATTTAGACTAATTATACACTACGAAATTTTGAGGCAGGAAGAAGAGACTTTGTTGGTCTTGTGATTAGGTGGGCCCTGCCATAGAGGCATTGTAGGGACAATTAAAGGATGCAGAGAAGCACCAATGATAAAATATTTATAGTCGTCGGCTAAAATAATTTATCGTGAATTGAGCTCAATTTTGTATGAGTAAATAATGAAACTCCCAAGAGAAAACTTTTAACAATTACCGGTTTATGGCTCTCTGTATCTCTATTCGATACAATCACTGAATCAAGCCTTCATATGAATGGTGATTTTTTTATTTTTTAGTTGATTTTACTTTTTTTTTCATATTTTCGGAGATTATTCAGATAATTTTGTATTTTAAAAAAAAACAACCAAAGAAAGGCAGGAAATTTGAAAGTAGGGGTGTTTATTTTATTCTACATATAGGATAAGTAGTGTTCCAATTTCTTATCAGATATTTTGCGATTTTTTTTTTATTAATCTACTCTACCTGATTAACTATACTATTCTTACCCGAATTCCGTCAAAAACAATCGAGTTGAAAATCGGGTGAACACATATTTTTTAATTATTAATTTTTGAATCATTTTAATAATTTAATTAAGTAACCTGCATCAATTGACTAATACAATAAACCAATAATATTAAAAAAAACATAATAAATTCAATAATACATAAACAATTACAATAAAACACAATAAGAAAGTCATAAACATCAATACATCATATATAAAAAAGTTATAAACATTAATAAAACATTAGGGTTTCTTAATTTTTGCATTTTAATATTTTGTAAGTATTCCACATTCCTACCCGATTTTTTACAGAATACTAAAAAATCTTCTGTTGCTCTACCCAATTTTTTTGGGTAGCCAATCAGTAAGGTCGGGTAGAATGGGGTAGGATCGAAATTTATGAATAATCAAAAATTTGAACACCCCTATTTGAAAAGTCTTTCGTCTGTGGCTCCTTAGTTATCAAATTTTTATTATTAAAATTAAGGGATTGTTTGATAATGTTCTTGTATTTGCATTTCTAAAATAATTTTAAATAAAGATAATTTTTGTTTTGTTTTGTTTTGTTTTGTTTAGTCATGCGGAGAAGAAAATATATGTTTGATAGTCAACTGTCTCTGACCAGATTCTTTGATGGTGCCCGTGTGAACATTCCCACACATCGCCTATGCAACCAATACTTTCATCTCACATTTCTCTCCCCTGTTACTTCCCATTTTCTCTCGCTTTTGGATTCTCATCTCCATCTCTCTTTTTTTTCTCCATAACACATTGGATGTGTTATGCAAAGGGAACGACGAAGTGAGGGTGCTGGTGCAGGGTTGGGGTAAGGATTTGTATTTTGGATTTTTTGGGTGTGAGTTTATTTTTTTAGACTTATTTGAGAAAAAATGTATATATAAATATTTTACTTTACTAAGTTCAATTTTAATAAAACATCTTGTTATTAAGTACGAAATTCAAATGACATTTAAATTTTTTTACTTATTTACCATTCTTTAAATTATACATAATTTTTATTTTATCCATCTATCTCCCTTATTTTTTCTCCATCTCTCTCCCTCTCTCTCAATTACTCACTCGGTATCTCTCCCCTATTTTCTCTTTATCTCTCTCATTCTTCATTACTCTCCCTCTCTCTCTATCTCCCATTAATAATTTTTTTTCTAATATGTAAAGATTTAATTTGATTTTTTCATCTCTCTCCCCAACTTTCTCTCTCTCTCCCATATTTTCCCCACCGTTACTCTTTCTCCTAATTTGATCTCTTTCTCTCTCCCTCTCTTTATATCAATGTTACAACAACACAATTACACTAATCAATTACGTTAATAAGTTATAATTTCCTATAATGGTAAACCAAACAGTTACATCAAATAATTACACAAAATTATAACACCAATCCAATTTGTCATTCAGTTGTTTATATAAATTAAAGAATTGTATCATTTAGTATCATAACATGGTTACACTAATTATATACACCAAATTTGGTATAATGGTAAAACCTTTTACATAATGATAAATCTAATTTGGTATATATAATTGGTGTAACCATATTATAATACTAAATGGTGTAACTCTTTAGTTTATGTAAGCAATTAAATGATAAATTGGGTTGATATTATAATTTTGTGTAATTGTTTAGTATAACTGTTTCGTTTATTAGAACACATGAATAACTGTTTGGTGTATTTATAGGATAATTTTAATTGATTTGTGTAACTTATTAGTGTAATTGTACTGTTATAACGTTGATATAAGGAGAGAGAGAATAAAAGAGAAAAAGTAACGGAGAGAGAAAATATGGGGAAGAGAGAAAGAAAAAATAGGAAAGAGATATGAAAAAATTAAATCAAATCTTTACATATTTGAAAAAAATAATTATCAATTTGATAAAAAGAGATAGATAGAAAAAAATAGGGAAGAGAGAATGAGAGAGTAATGGGAAGAGAGAGTAATGGAGTAATAAATGAAATTTTAGTCTTTTTTCAAAAAAATGCACTTAGGGCCAAATAAGTTTTTTTAACGTAGTTTAACTCAATTAAGTCTAAATTTTTGTACCGACTTTCAAATTTCTCCTATATTTTAGTACATGGTTTGATGGGCCGTGGTGACCCAATGGGTTAATGAGTCACCCAGATGTCCACCTGGAAGAGCCGCTGGTGACCCATTAACTTGATTAGTAATGTCCAGGCTAAATTTTTTAGGGCCAAGTAGCCCAATAGGCATGTTTTTATTTTTTATTTTTATAAAAAAAATTCACTAATGAAGTTTTGAGTTTTCTTCAAAATTATACTAAATTTAATATTAGGACAAAAAAGACCCCTTAAGGGGCCCGTGAGTTGGCCTGTTAAGGGCACATTAGGGCTGGTTGTGGGCCTAAGGGTACGAAGCCCTCCCCATGTCTTAGTCAAAGTCCGAATAACCTGGCTAGTGATGGTCTTGAGCCTATAAAATTTGAGCCAGCCCAGCCCGTTGCCTCGGTCTGCCACTAGTATGCCAGAAGTCAAATTAATTAGTCAAACTCAAACTCATTTATCTCTTCAGCAATGCTATCTGGAACCTAATCTAATGATTTAATCACTCATAACCATTTGATTAATATTAGACTCGGTATTTGTTGAAAATTTTTACCAATCTAATAGTTACGATAAATTAAGTCAATAAATTAAATTTAAATAACATTATTAAAATCTTGTTCTTTTCATTCCACTTTTTCAATGTCTCTTCAATGACCCTTTTTTTTTTGGTTGGTTGGGCGGGCGGGCGGGCGAAGGGGTAAAGAGGAGGAGACTTGAACCCTTTACCTGAAAAAAGTAAAACCTTAGTTCTAGATTTATTTCTTAATAGAGAAGGAATATTATCTACAACATTGTTAGAAATTAGAAAGATGAAGAAGTATTCTCCATAAATATCACCCTCTTTAATGAAATATTATCTGCCCACTCTGCCCTTTTCAATGAGTTCTTAAATAATCTTTGCCTTTTCATCTTGTCGATGATGCAAATAGCAGATTATCATAATCTTCCCTACGGATCACAAGCATCCTACCAATTAATATGCAATTAAAACTGTGGTCAATATAAAGTTATAAACACCATTAACAAGAATTTCAACCCGCATGAGGCATAAAACCATGCTACCCATAATTTTTGTTCTTGGTTTAACAATTTTTATGAAATTTGTTCTGTTTCTTTGTGCCCAATTTCATGTGTTGGCAAGGCAAAGTGAAGCAGGGGAAAGCATATCTAAAGAGGAAGACATAGAGCAAGGACAAGTCCTCAAGCCCTTGTATGAACCACTCACAAAGACTAATCTGAATGAGGAAGGTCATATTATGATCAAATGCAGAAGTATCAAGAAGTCATTTCCTTTTGATCATCTGTTGCATCATAATCAGATGATCCTGATGCAACCGAGTCTTGTCTGTAAGAAATTCATAGAAGGTGATTTCCCAATATACACATTTTTCTGGAGTGAAGGGATAGCTAGCCGGCTAGTAACAATTTTCATAAGAAGAGGAAGGGAAGAAGATTTGATTATGGCTAAACCTGTATCAAATCAATGCAGCCCTATTAATTTCGTATTAAGATCAGAAAGTCCATATCATCATTTTGCAATTGTAAAAGCAGGTAGAGAGATGTGTTATTTTATCGATGTGGAACAAGCTCTAATTATACATCCTTACAGGTATTTTAGACTCTGGATTCAGTGAATATGTGGCATGGATTGGAAATGGTGAAAGAAATCAACTCAGTAGGATGCAAGTGGGATGGACTGAACACATTCTATGGCAACAGACAGCCTCCCTCTTTCATTCATATACTGGACTGAGAATGGTTAGAAGATAACAGGTAAATTTTGAATCAAAGATACTAAAGTTCAGCAGTTTGCTAAGTTTCACAAAGCAAACCTTATCAATTGGAATATATGTAAACAACTTGATCCAAATAGTGATGTGTTTGACCTCAACTTGAATGTTCTTTTTTCCCCTTGAGTGGTGAATGGAATCATCGATCTCTAGTGTTAAATATTCTCTTTACTTCCGTCAATGTTGGTGGACAATTTGCTTGATTATAATGAATCTCACTAAAAAAGTCATGATATGTCATCTGATACTACGGGAAATGAAGAGATTTCGTACTTTATCAGGTGCCAATCAACTATTATCCCCAAAAATGTGCATGAACGAATGAAAAGAAGATGATAATAATTATCATGGCACAAGTTTACTGCCTCAAGAACTCTAGAACAGAACCACCATGGCAATAAAGAAAAGCAAAGAGCAGATGATATTACCAAAAGGATCAAGTGTTCCCCCAGTTGAAAATACCTTGTCCTCTGCAAAAACACCATTATAGACCCATATATCAAAAACTGTCAAAAACCTGAAAAAAAAAAAAAATATATATATATATATATATATATATATATATATATAAGTGCAAGAGACGAGAAAACTTACTGCACTGTTTTGGATGGCATACACATCTCAACCCAATCCCACAATTTCCATTAGGCTTTTCACACTCATCACAAGGATTTGGTACATGGTCAGGAATATCAAAAGAAATCCTTGTTCCCAACTCAAAATCATCGATTTTATCATCATTAACCCAAGTACTTCTATACACCCTTCTGTAGTGTGAGCAATTCAGATCTTTTGGATGAAAACCCTTGTCCATTTTTCCAACATCATCCACAACTAAACATGAAGAGGTCCCTTCGAATTCTTGTTCTTCAAACTTAGAAGCATTGCAGCCATGGAAGGGAGTGCAGTTACGCCGAGATGGCGATGTGGTACGCGTTTGGATCGAGCAGTTGAACATGATTATGGAGTTGGGCTGGGGAGGAGGAGGAAGTCCAGCTGAAAGATTTGAAGGAGATACAAAGTGGGTTGAAGAAGAACAAGAACTATGAGAGAGAGTGAGCAGTTTACTTTTATAATCAATGGAAGAGATTGGGAAAAGACCAAGGGAGGTCCTGAAGTAAAGTTTCTCAGATTTGCAGAGGACCATGCGGTTCAAAAGCGATGACTCAGTTGAGTTTTGGAGAAAGAAAGGCTTTTGAATTCTAATTTTTCCACAGAAGCTTATGGGAGATTGTTGGGCTATGGATATTGGAAAGAAAAAGTTGAGAGTGATCAGAAGGAGAATAGGAAGAAGATGAACCCTCTTCCATGTCTGCATTGTTTCTTTCTTTTGCTTTCTAAACTTGATCTTTCTACTGTGAAAACTTAAACTGTAAGGATAATATGAAACAGAGAATCCATTTTTTTCATCTGATTCTTTTTTGCCTAGCCTTTGTCTATTTTAGTGGTTCTTCTGGGGACCCTAGTTGAGAATCTCACTTTCTATCCTACAAATGTTACCCCTTTCCAATTTCTCTTGTTCCTGCTTTGGACATTTGATCCAATCCAATTCCCTTTCCCTAAAGGACTCCACTTTTTTATTTGGTTCCACCAGGTGTGTTTTCAAAATTCTTCTGTTTGACCCTACATTTATTTATGTCATCTGGCTATGTACCCGTTTATAATCCAAATCCAAATATGCTATATTTTCCAAAATATTTCTTACACTTTGCATTCTAAATCAACTCGTGTGCAAAAAAAATATAAACAGAAGTATCAATGGGTAGTATTAAAAGCTGTAAATGCAATTTAGTGGTCCAAACTATCCAGTGCTACTTTCTGAATTTAAGCCCATTTGTCCTCAGCAGAATCAGATACTCAGAACATTTTTTTCCCATTATATCATGTTTTCAAAGTTATATAACCCAACCGCATGGATCTAGATTATCTCCGATACCTTTTCTCTGGATTATCTTCAATACTTTTTTTCTCTAATTCTTTTCTTCCTAAATCACGCATCATGTATTAGTAATGATATACCCACTTTGGTAGAATGTATCAAACACTTCTTTCTTCCCCTCTCCTCACTCAAACCCACTTCACTGGGCCCCTCCTATCAAAAACACCAACATATTCTCTTACTTAGTGTGGCCATAGGAGTTTGTGATTATTAAGAAATAAAATGATGGAAGTTAAGTGGCAGACATAGTTTTTAACATGGGGACCCTTCATAATTGAGGCCAATTATCCTCCTGATGATTAATCATATAAACACAAATCACTTAGAAACGCAAACTTAAAAGTTAGTGAAGCAACACAGTCAAAAAGTAATCTTATCGTCTTCCGACCCTACAGCCGGTCAGTCCATATGTAACTAGGGTGCAGTAACAATTACTTGGATTTTTTCATTTTGTTAATCATATATCAGTCATGTCAAATTTAGATGCGTCAACCACTCCATAATGTTGACATCGAAGATGATGATACCAAGATATTTCAAGGTTGAACTCGGACTTTTAGCTCAGACCATTCAACTCATCGTTAATGACCAGAGAACTTGAGGTCAGTGTCCCCTCTCTCAACTACACCTTTATCGGAATAGTATAGAAGACAATTGATTTACACACACGCACCACACATAACGTAAGTATCTAGGCAAAAAAGGCATAACCGTCTCAACGACGTCCATGACAATAGCATAAAAGACACAACCATTACGATAAGAAGGCTAAGATCACGCTAGGATAATGCAAGACATCCGAAGATTATAAGTAAGAGTCATATTCTTCACAATAGGACACAAGCAATTAGCTTAAGAAAATATCCAGTGTAATCTTTTCCCATTGTCAATAATATTTTCAGGAACAATAGACTCTCTGTATTCAATTCTTAAGAGCCTAAGAGCTCCGACTGAATTATTATGTGACTCTTCAATCCCCAAGTATCATAAGCTTTGCTCATTTGTGTGACATACATTATCAGAAGAAAATATTAGAGGGAATGTGACAAATATATATATTGAGTCAAGTACATAAAATTTTTAATTATTAGGGTATCATTCGAATATAGAATTCTGCTTTGACGTTATTTTAAACTGCTATCTAATCCAAAAACTCAAACTACGAGAGAGAGTAAGATTAGTAATTATATATTTTGAAAGAAAATAGGAGAGAGAGAGAGATTATTACACAAACTTGATGTTCGGATGGAAATATAACTGATTGTTATCTGCATAACAAATGACACGACCCAGCACCCACCCACAAATAATTAATCAAGCAAGCACTTACAGACACAAGCAAACTGATACAAATTATAGTACATAGACATATATATAATATATAAGGCAGTGCCACTAAATAGATTGCTTGTTTAATGTGGCCTGGGATTGATTGATAGATAGATAGTATTGGTCATGCAGGTGGTGGCTTGGCAAGAACAGCTGGGAAATCAAGCAGCACAATCTTGTCAATTGCAGTCGAAAAAGTAGCAGAGAACTCCATATGCTTGGGATGGCTAATAAAAGCAGTGAAATCATCCTTGCTCTTGAATGTCATCAAGAATGCATGAGTGAATCCTTGCCTAAGCATCTCCTGGCTTTCAATGTCCTTTCCCCTATTAATAAACATTGAAATTTAGAATTTACATAACAGTAACAGGGTCAACACATTATTAGATTAGATTTTTAAATTCAAATAATATTATTCCGTTTTTTTATACTCTTGATACCATACTTTTGCCCTAATTACATAAAAAACAAAGAAATTCTAAACCGACTAGTAAGATAAAGATATTCAAGAGTACATTATATACCTTTAAGTATATACTTAATCCACATGTATATATTTAATTGATGTGAAATCGTAACAGAGACTTACCAGACAAAGGACTTGACAGTGTCCATCTCGGAAACAAGCTTCTCCATGCCGTTCAGAATGTCTTCCACCACCACCTCTTCCTTGAACTTAACCACCACTAAGTGCTTGAACTCTTCCATGACCACTTCATCCAAATGAGCCACCACAGCCTCAATTTATACACGCACACACACTATTTTGAGGTGAAGTTCAATGGTCATGTCACATGTGCTTCGTACCCATTCTAGCATGACCTTAGTCCCTCTTTTTTAAGACAATATCTGCGACCCAATATTTGGAAAGATACAGCACCGCTGCTGGACGTAGACCCACTAATTTTTTTTATTGGTTCAACGAATCGGTGTTTAGATCAGTTTATGCGTATCTTCACTATTTTTTTGTTTGCTTGATTAAAAATAGGTCATCTATATTGATTCCTCGTGAACTAGCTCTAAGGAATTACTTAAATTTGAACTAAATTCGTCTTTATTACTATTTGAACTATCTTTTAAGATCGTGGTTGTAGACCCATTAATAAAATATGATATTGATACCTCCATTTTATTTTAATTATTTATCATGGAAATGTTAAATTAAAATTAAAAATAAATAAATAATAAAATTTTAAATGGGTCATAATGCGATTGTACACAAAATAAAAATGCACATACTCAAAAATTATTTTTCGATACGAAAATCTAACCTTGGACCCAGTAGCCGGCCTCTTCGTAGCTCCGCCCCCACAGTTGAACTGTGTGCCGCCATTGTCCTCATCTTTTTGCTTTTCTCACACGAATGGGGTCCTTCCTGCAATTGGTTGAGTCCTTCGAGTAAGAGCTGGAATTAGATTTGCTGGTTAGATCGTCATAATATTAGCCAATTTTAATTTAATTTATTTAATAAATCATAGTATATTTTAATCGAATTGATTAATCATAAACTACAAATCCAATGCTAATAATTTTTTTTTTTTAGAAAAAGTTCATCCACACCCCCGATATATTGCTTTATCTTCAAATAGACCCCTTGTATAATCTAAAATTTTAATGCACTCTCTTCTAGTTTATATGTTCTTGTTGATCACACCTCTTGTCGTGAATCAACATTGCAGGCAAACTTAAAATTGCTGATGTTATGTAATTTTTTTTTCTTATTACTTATAATACCCTTTTGCTCTTGTGTGTGTGTGTGTGTGTGTGTGTGTGTGTGTGTGTTACCCACACATAACAAACAACTATATTAATGAGCCACCAAGAAGATACCACCTCTGCCGCCACGACTTCCACCCATTTAATGAGCCCTCAAAAAATTGATCTCACTATATTAAATAATAATTTTTTTTCTTCATTTTTTTGATTACATTATTCAAAATTTATTTTTACTAATTATTTTCTTAAAAATATTGACAAAATTTTCTCAAAATATATAATTTAATAAAATTTTCTCAACATGTGTATATTATCGTATATAAATAATGTTTCAAATAAAAATTATATTATCAAATATTAAATGATTGAACATGTAATAGAAATGAGTAATGTGATGGCTTGAGAGGGGGAGAAATGTGTAGGGAATAAAATTAAACTTCCTATGTGTTTTATTATATAGATATATATTTGTCAAATTAGATTTTAGTGTCGAATAAATGTCATATTTAATTTTTTTGGTATGTAATAATATTATGATATTATAATACAAATAATAATTTATAATTTAATCAATTGATTTGACAAAAAATAAAATACATTTAGATGCACAAATACTCAATAATGAAAATCTTACAATAAAAATTCAATATAAATAAAAGAGGAAATGTCTAAAAAAATTAGAGAGATACCTAAAAAATAACAGATTAGATACCCAAAGAGAAGTACTAATTAGGTTTCATAATAATTAAAATACAAATTAATTAGTCAACATATAATTTATTATTCAATTAAATTACAAATTTAATTTTTTTATAAAAAAATTATTATTTAAATATTCATGGGCAGCACAAGTCATGCATTTCTAGTATAAGTAAATACACATTTATGTGTGCATTATATCCGATCAAATACAATTTATACATAAATATTTAAGTTTTGTATGGACAAATTAGTAAAAGAGTCACGAAGACAAAACTCTGATAAGGGGTGTTAGTAAAGTTTTCAGATAATACAAGGGTCTCTTTGAAGATATGATATTTTAGATGGGGTGTGGATGAAGTTATTCCACCTTTTTTTTTTTTTTTTTCCTTCAATCAAATTCATCAATCATATTTTTTTTTTTGACACACTTAACACAAAGTGCCGGGTGGGACATTTAAATTGAACTCAAACACCACAAACTATCCGATGTGGAATAACCCATCAGCCATATAGACTTTAATAAAAATTGAAAACTCAAGTCATCATTCTGATATCAAAACTAAGTAAAAAATTATTTAGATTTACAAAAAGAATTATATAATACCAAATCATGAAATAAAAAAATTAGATATTCTTGTTATAAAAAACGAGTTTTACAGGCTTATCATCCCAAAACGATGTTATTTGTATTTCAAACTAACCTAATTAATTTATTAATGTATTAGAAAGTCTTGTAGTATTTAAATTTGTATTGAGGATTAATCAACTCTTAATCGGATCCTTTTATATCCATAGACAAAGTTATATAGGGGTTAGGGTGGGCCCCCGGCTCACCTCAATTTTTTTTTAAAAATATTTATATATATATATATATATATACTCTAAAAATTATACATATATTTTTTATTTGTGCCCACCATATAATTTTTTTATTTCAATTGTTTAGCCTTTTTTATTGTATTAATACTTTCTCTAAATGATCTTAATTTTGTTAATCATGAATTTTTGCAAGTGAAAATTCTTGCAATTGAATCTCATTTAACTTTTATTTTTTTAAGAGAAATTGTTTTTATGTTTAATCGAGTATTGATTCTAATCGTTATTATGTGTCCATTGATTTTCAATTTTTTTTACTATATTTAGCTCTTATTATTTAGTTTAGTAGTTTTACTATACTAAAATCTAAGTGATAATGTTTGAAATATTGTTTATTAAATAAATTTAATAAATTGTTAGCGAATAACTAATATTTTTTAATTACAAAAATGATAATTAGTTTCACTTTTTTTATAATGGTGATAATTAATTATTTTTAATACATATACAATATATATTATTTTTTTGACATTTTTTATGTTAAATAGATTTTATGTATTAAATATTATATAATAAATATAAATATATTATATAATGTGATTGACTATGAAAAAAAATAAAAATATATAATTAAAATGTTCACTTTAAACAAAATTTCTACGTATGCCCATGTTTATATCACATTCATGGTTCATCTCATTTCAAAAAGAATCACCTGTGTTTGGAATGATTCATGACTTATTTTCCAGGACATCATCATCACAAATTGCAGGACCTCTGAATTCTTTTTATTTGGAATGAAATGGAGGGAACTTTCCTCTCTCCATGTACGCCAGGAACAGGCTACGGCCTTTTGGTTTTTCGGTATGGTCCCGGAAACCAATAGGCACCGTAGATCCATTTAATAATAAAAGTTAGTCGTTGATCAATGCATTCTTTTTTATTTTATTGTTTTCTAAGCGAAATCAGTCATTTGTTGATTGCCGGCTGATAGACAAGACAAAATTGTGAAAAGGCTTGTAAGATAGAACGTCATGATTATTAGTAATTTTATTAAAATATACTACAATATTACTATAATAAAGTAAATATTAACAATTTCAATGAAAAAAAATAATAGAATTGTGGATTTATTGAAGAATTTTATTTACCACATTTATGTCAATAATTACAAATAGGTAAGGAATTGTTACCACTCTTTATTAACAATTATAACAATTAATGATAAAATTACAACATCACTTAAATCATTGTTCATCAGTTAAAAGGATGAATTATCATATTTGTTGACAAGGGCACAAGAGTTGTAAATGTTTTACACAAAAACATTTACTAGTGCATACTTTTACGAAGAGTAATGACAAAAATGGTTAGATTTCATTTATGAAAAAAAATGTAATTTAATGAAATGTGTACTTAATGTGCGAATAATTACGACTAATCCAAGAAAATATACCAGTCTTGTGGAAAAAATTACAAGTGAAGAGGAATATTTATTAGTTAAATGGTTCAATTTACAATATTTACTAATCCTTGATCGATCATTAAATATAATTGATCGATCATTAATACACAAAATATAATTATATACTTCAAATAATACATCTGCAACAATATGATTGATCATTATATATTTTTGATCAATCGAATTCACTTACTAATTAAGTTTATGACACTGCAGGGTATGTTTAGGAGACAAGTGGATTCATGAAAACATGTGAGGAAGGTTTTACCATAAAGTGGATAACTCCATGTAAAAGTTAAAAGTTCATACTAAAATTGTATTTCTAGGTTTATTAATGTTACGCCAAAAGTGGTTAACATTTTGAAGGTATATGTAAGTATATATAACATGTATGAGAGTCATTATAGGCAATTTTTACTATGAATGTGATGAAAGAGATATTCATAGATTTACCACCATAATGGTTACATTTCATAAAGGAATAGAAAAATTACGTCACTTAATGAAATGTTTACGACATTTGTGAATAATTCAAAAGTATTTGATTATAATTTATCAGTTTTGTAGATAAGTTTATATGTATTAAGAAGTATTTACGACTTGTGCGGTATATTTTACAACGTTGGTAGGTATCATAAGACCATTAAGGGTTCGTACATGAGACAGTCCGGTGGGGTAAATTAAAACATATGAGGAAGTATGTACCAGAAAAGAGGATAAATTTATAATGCTTAAGGAATATTTTTTGGATAAGTTTACGACTTCTATGGTAAATATATCATATGTATGGGAGCCATTATAATAGGTTACTACGAATGTGGTGAAAAGGGATATTTATAGATTTACCACAACTATGGTTAGATTTCATATAGTAAAGAAAAATATACGTCAGTAATGAAAATTATTACGTTATTTTTGGATAAGTTACACGTAGTCGAGTAAGATTTACTAGTTATGTGAAGTGAAATATCAACTTAGTTAATGAATATACAAGTAGGTAGGAGTATTTACTACATGTATGGTATAAGTTATAATATTTGTGCATACTTTTATAAGTGTTTAAGTATATAATTACGAGATAGGTTGGATACATTAAAACATTGATGAAGGATTTATGACTCAG